AGGTTAGCAGTTATGTGAGTCTGTGATTTTTAGTGGGGTGGGTTAGAGGTTAGCAGTTATGTGAGTCTGTGATTTTTAGTGGGGTGGGTTAGCAGTTATGTGAGTCTGTGATTTTTAGTGGGGTGGGTTAGGGGTTAGCAGTTATGTGAGTCTGTGATTTTTAGTGGGGTGGGTTAGCAGTTATGTGAGTCTGTGATTTTTAGTGGGGTGGGTTAGCAGTTATGTGAGTCTGTGATTTTTAGTGGGGTGGGTTAGGGGTTAACAGTTATGTGAGTCTGTGATTTTTAGTGGGGTGGGTTAGCAGTTATGTGAGTCTGTGATTTTTAGTGGGGTGGGTTAGCAGTTATGTGAGTCTGTGATTTTTAGTGGGGTGGGTTAGAGGTTAGCAGTTATGTGAGCCTGTGATTTTTAGTGGGGTGGGTTAGCAGTTATGTGAGTCTGTGATTTTTAGTGGGGTGGGTTAGCAGTTATGTGAGTCTGTGATTTTTAGTGGGGTGGGTTAGCAGTTATGTGAGTCTGTGATTTTTAGTGGGGTGGGTTAGAGGTTAGCAGTTATGTGAGTCTGTGATTTATAGTGGGGTGGGTTAGCAGTTATGTGAGTCTGTGATTTTTAGTGGGGTGGGTTAGAGGTTAGCAGTTATGTGAGTCTGTGATTTTTAGTGGGGTGGGTTAGAGGTTAGCAGTTATGTGAGTCTGTGATTTTTAGTGGGGTGGGTTAGGGGTTAACAGTTATGTGAGTCTGTGATTTTTATTTGGGTGGGTTAGGGGTTAACAGTTATGTGAGTCTGTGATTTTTAGTGGGGTGGGTTAGCAGTTATGTGAGTCTGTGATTTTTAGTGGGGTGGGTTAGCAGTTATGTGAGTCTGTGATTTTTAGTGGGGTGGGTTAGAGGTTAGCAGTTATGTGAGCCTGTGATTTTTAGTGGGGTGGGTTAGCAGTTATGTGAGTCTGTGATTTTTAGTGGGGTGGGTTAGCAGTTATGTGAGTCTGTGATTTTTAGTGGGGTGGGTTAGCAGTTATGTGAGTCTGTGATTTTTAGTGGGGTGGGTTAGAGGTTAGCAGTTATGTGAGTCTGTGATTTTTAGTGGGGTGGGTTAGCAGTTATGTGAGTCTGTGATTTTTAGTGGGGTGGGTTAGAGGTTAGCAGTTATGTGAGTCTGTGATTTTTAGTGGGGTGGGTTAGCAGTTATGTGAATCTGTGATTTTTAGTGGGGTGGGTTAGCAGTTATGTGAGTCTGTGATTTTTAGTGGGGTGGGTTAGCAGTTATGTGAGTCTGTGATTTTAAGTGGGGTGCGTTAGAGGTTAGCAGTTATGTGAGTCTGTGATTTTTAGTGGGGTGGGTTAGGGGTTAACAGTTATGTGAGTCTGTGATTTTTAGTGGGGTGGGTTAGGGGTTAACAGTTATGTGAGTCTGTGATTTTTAGTGGGGTGGGTTAGCAGTTATGTGAGTCTGTGATTTTAAGTGGGGTGGGTTAGCAGTTATGTGAGTCTGTGATTTTTAGTGGGGTGGGTTAGCAGTTATGTGAGTCTGTGATTTTTAGTGGGGTGGGTTAGGGGTTAACAGTTATGTGAGTCTGTGATTTTTAGTGGGGTGGGTTAGAGGTTAGCAGTTATGTGAGTGTGATTTTTAGTGGGGTGGGTTAGGGGTTAACAGTTATGTGAGTCTGTGATTTTTAGTGGGGTGGGTTAGCAGTTATGTGAGTCTGTGATTTTTAGTGGGGTGGGTTAGGGGTTAACAGTTATGTGAGTCTGTGATTTTTAGTGGGGTGGGTTAGCAGTTATGTGAGTCTGTGATTTTTAGTGGGGTGGGTTAGCAGTTATGTGAGTCTGTGATTTTTAGTGGGGTGGGTTAGGGGTTAACAGTTATGTGAGTCTGTGATTTTTAGTGGGGTGGGTTAGCAGTTATGTGAGTCTGTGATTTTTAGTGGGGTGGGTTAGCAGTTATGTGAGTCTGTGATTTTTAGTGGGGTGGGTTAGAGGTTAGCAGTTATGTGAGCCTGTGATTTTTAGTGGGGTGGGTTAGCAGTTATGTGAGTCTGTGATTTTTAGTGGGGTGGGTTAGCAGTTATGTGAGTCTGTGATTTTTAGTGGGGTGGGTTAGCAGTTATGTGAGTCTGTGATTTTAAGTGGGGTGGGTTAGCAGTTATGTGAGTCTGTGATTTTTAGTGGGGTGGGTTAGCAGTTATGTGAGTCTGTGATTTTTAGTGGGGTGGGTTAGGGGTTAACAGTTATGTGAGTCTGTGATTTTTAGTGGGGTGGGTTAGCAGTTATGTGAGTCTGTGATTTTTAGTGGGGTGGGTTAGCAGTTATGTGAGTCTGTGATTTTTAGTGGGGTGGGTTAGAGGTTAGCAGTTATGTGAGCCTGTGATTTTTAGTGGGGTGGGTTAGCAGTTATGTGAGTCTGTGATTTTTAGTGGGGTGGGTTATGGGTTAGCAGTTATGCGAGTCTGTGATTTTAGTGGGATGGGTTAGAGGTTAGCAGTTATGTGAGTCTGTGATTTTTAGTGGGGTGGGTTAGCAGTTATGTGAGTCTGTGATTTTTAGTGGGGTGGGTTAGAGGTTAGCAGTTATGTGAGTCTGTGATTTTTAGTGGGGCGGGTTAGCAGTTATGTGAGTCTGTGATTTTTAGTGGGGTGGGTTAGCAGTTATGTGAGTCTGTGATTCTTAGTGGGGTGGGTTAGGGGTTAACAGTTATGTGAGTCTGTGATTTTTAGTGGGGTGGGTTAGCAGTTATGTGAGTCTGTGATTTTTAGTGGGGTGGGTTAGAGGTTAGCAGTTATGTGAGTCTGTGATTTTTAGTGGGGTGGGTTAGCAGTTATGTGAGTCTGTGATTCTTAGTGGGTGGGTGGGTTAGAGGTTAACAGTTATGTGAGTCTGTGATTCTTAGTGGGGTAGGTTAGCAGTTATGTGAGTCTGTGATTTTTAGTGGGGTGGGTTAGGGGTTAACAGTTATGTGAGTCTGTGATTTTTAGTGGGGTGGGTTAGGGGTTAGCAGTTATGTGAGTCTGTGATTCTTAGTGGGTGGGTGGGTTAGAGGTTAACAGTTATGTGAGTCTGTGATTCTTAGTGGGGTAGGTTAGCAGTTATGTGAGTCTGTGATTTTTAGTGGGGTGGGTTAGCAGTTATGTGAGTCTGTGATTTTTAGTGGGGTGGGTTAGGGGTTAACAGTTATGTGAGTCTGTGATTTTTAGTGGGGTGGGTTAGGGGTTAGCAGTTATGTGAGTCTGTGTTTTTTAGTGGGTGGGTGGGTTAGGGGTTAGCAGTTATGTGAGTCTGATTCTTAGGGGGTGGGTTAGGGGTTAGCAGTTATGTGAGTCTGTGATTTTTAGTGGGGTGGGTTAGAGGTTAACAGTTATGTGAGTCTGTGATTCTTAGTGGGGTGGGTTAGCAGTTATGTGAGTATGTGATTTTTAGTGGGGTGGGTTAGGGGTTAACAGTTATGTGAGTCTGTGATTTTTAGTGGGGTGGGTTAGAGGTTAGCAGTTATGTGAGTCTGTGATTTTTAGTGGGGTGGGTTAGCAGTTATGTGAGTCTGTGATTTTTAGTGGGGTGGGTTAGAGGTTAACAGTTATGTGAGTCTGTGATTCTTAGTGGGGTGGGTTAGCAGTTATGTGAGTATGTGATTTTTAGTGGGGTGGGTTAGGGGTTAACAGTTATGTGAGTCTGTGATTTTTAGTGGGGTGGGTTAGAGGTTAGCAGTTATGTGAGTCTGTGATTTTTAGTGGGGTGGGTTAGCAGTTATGTGAGTCTGTGATTTTTAGTGGGATGGGTTAGAGGTTAGCAGTTATGTGAGTCTGTGATTCTTAGTGGGGTAGGTTAGCAGTTATGTGAGTCTGTGATTCTTAGTGGGGTGGGTTAGAGGTTAGCAGTTATGTGAGTCTGTGATTTTTAGTGGGGTGGGTTAGCAGTTATGTGAGTCTGTGATTTTTAGTGGGGTGGGTTAGAGGTTAGCAGTTATGTGAGTCTGTGATTCTTTGTGGGGTGGGTTAGCAGTTATGTGAGTCTGTGAGTTTTAGTGGGGTGGGTTAGGGGTTAACAGTTATGTGAGTCTGTGATTTTTAGTGGGGTGGGTTAGCAGTTATGTGAGTCTGTGATTTTTAGTGGGGTGGGTTAGGGGTTAGCAGTTATGTGAGTCTGTGATTTTTAGTGGGGTGGGTTAGGGGTTAACAGTTATGTGAGTCTGTGATTTTTAGTGGGGTGGGTTAGCAGTTATGTGAGTCTGTGATTTTTAGTGGGGTGGGTTAGGGGTTAACAGTTATGTGAGTCTGTGATTTTTAGTGGGGTGGGTTAGGGGTTAGCAGTTATGTCAGTTGTGAGTCTCTGGTTTAATGATGAGTGTGAGGGTGGGGGGAGGGGGGGGAATGTGACGTATACTGTTTTGAATTTCATAGAGTCAAATCCAAAGAAATATATGTGTCGTATGTTACAATGTTATTTATACGAGCTAGATTTCTCGTTTAAATGTGGGGTATGAGAGGGAAGGATCAGGCTTTTGTGTGTGCGTGTGTTTTGGGGGGGGGGGGGAGTAATGTAGAAAGTACTTTTTTAAAGACATGTTTAACCTTGATCTGATAGATATGCTATCTAAGGTGGCAGTTCGAATCTTGAGCTCATTGATATTGAGTTGACACAGTTTGAACATTCAGCAGATAGATATGCCAGCTAATGAAAAAACAAAATCCTCAACACAAGACGAATTGCGCAATCATAACCTGCCCCACATTTCGACCCGGCTATTATTAGCGCACCCAAGCAACCGGTGCGCCATAGTTTTTTTAGAAACCTTTTTTCTTAACATATGACGCAATCGGTTATTCATACTTTTGAGTTCGCGCGTGCGGGCCTCTCTTCCAATATAAGCTACGCATTACGTGATTTTGATTCACGCATGCGTAAAAAAAATATAAAAAAATAATTAAAAAAAAAAAAGACAACAGATAGCAGTGGAAGGGAGAGGTGTGGGGGTCGGGAAGTTGGACTCGGAGAGCGGAGGAACCGAGCGGGCTGTCGAGGCGGGGTGAGAGCGCAGAGGGCCGCGGAACGAAAGATCGCAGCAGCTTGCTGGAGGAATGTTGTGGGGAAAGATGGCGTAAAGGGGCTGGCGTAGAGAACACTGACTAAAGAAAGTAGAATGGTAGGATTATGGTTAGGATTCCTAACCCGCTGGTAGTAAATATAAACGTGTATATTTTTCAGGGATGGTTTCTGTGCAGTTAAAAAAGAAATAGTTGCGTGTTTGTGTGATATTTCGTCAAGGGATTATGTGCTACCTACAGTGATGCTTGTGTATTCAATGACAATCAATTCGGGTTAACCTGGGCTGTGTGAGGATCGTGATAATACTTCGATCTGTTATGTGGTCATTTAATCTTTGATTATTGATTAGTTATTTTTGGCGTATAAGGAAAACTCACGCACCTTGTAAAATACAAACGAAAATTTTGACATAGTTTATATATTATAATAATTTGTGATATAAAGGTGATAGAGGATATATAGGTCTGCTAAGTAAATCAAATTTATGTGTATATAATATAGTCCCTATCAAAACGAATATTTTATTCGTGTTATTGAAAATATTTGTGTAATGTATAAATATCCAAAATCTTGGTCCCGTGTTAGTTTTGGTAAAGGTAAGCACAGGTAAGTGAAGCACTCGTCAGCAGGTGAGATGAACGGTGTAATAGCGGCAGCTAATTAACTCGGCCTTAAATGTACCGTGGGAAGCTCCTCATAGCCCCGGCTCTAAAACCTCCCCGGGGTAGTTATTTATAGTTTCCTGATACACCAAAGACATTTTTTCGGTTCTTTCCCATTATGACCCCCCTGCTTGGCAGGTTTGAACCTATCCCTAAGCTATCTGTAGTACTAACGTTAAATACAATCCTAACCGTGGCACTTAACCCTAACCTTTAAAAAATCAAACCACACAACTGCCTATGCAGTTAAAAAAGAAATGTACTCGTGTTTGGGATGCAGTGGTTCTTCCAGACTTTTTTCTCCGAGGGTGCACTTGAAATTTTCGGGTGGGGGGGGGGGGGGGGGAGGCGGCAAAAGTATATATTTTCTATAAAAATTCCATTTCGTTCGGGGGGGGGGGGGTAGACTTTCTTCGCCCCCCCCCCCCCCCCCCCCCCCCCCCCCAAGAGATGCCTGGAAGAAACTCTGTAGGGATGTCAGCCATCCATATCCAACAAAAGTCCATATCACAAAATGTCCATTTCTACAAAATGTCCACATACAACAAATAAAGCCCACGTCAATCTAATTACATTCACCACCTCCCCTGTATTTCACATTTAACATACGTTCATCAATTTAGGCCTGAGTAAGTTTCACAAATTCACGTTCGCTCGCGTCAACATATTTACACCATCCTGTCTGAGTTTTTCTCTCAACTCACTTAAAGAAGTTGATAAACTTGTGCCTGAATTGTTCTATCAACTCACGTAGATAAGTTGCTAAACTTGTGCCTGACTTGTTCTATCAACTCACGTAGATAAGTTGCTAAACTTGTGCCTGAATTGTTCTATCAACTCACGTAGATAAGTTGCTAAACTTGTGCCTGAATTGTTCTATCAACTCACGTAGATAAGTTGCTAAACTTGTGCCTGAATTGTTCTATCAACTCAACTTAAAGAAGTAGGAATCTTGTGCCAACATGTCGGCTTTATTTCCCAAAGAATCCCCTGACCACGGGTCACTATGTCGCCCTCTCTCTAAAACTAGGTCGGCTGTTTTTAGAATAGGTCAGTAACGTCGCTCGAACGGATCAGTTACAATCAATACGAGTGGTCGATTATTTCCTTAAAAATCTCGGTTAACTTAATTAAATGGACCGGGTTACCTTGAATAAAATCGGTCAGTTAACTTACCTTAATAGACTGGGTTACTTTGACTAAAATAAGACGGTTACCGTGATAAATTATCTTGTTACATTGACAAAAGAATGTCAGTTACCTTGATTTAAAGTGGAAGAGTTACCTTGACTAAAATAGGTCAGTTACCTTTAGTTAAGGTATATTTAGAGCTGTGTCTTCTCACCAGCATGTCTTGTGTGACACGTGACGTGTAGCAATTGAGAAATGTGACGCGTGTCTTGTGTGACGCGTGACGTGTAGCGGTGAGGATTGTGACGCAATGAGCCTCATAACTGTGACCGTTACCTCACGTGCTTGCTCACCATCTGCCAGACGAGTTAGCAAAACTCTTTGACGTCTGTTCACGGTAGCATTTGTCGTGACGTTAGTGGGGTGGGACAGAGAGTGACGTAATCTCTTATTTTCCCATGTGACCAATGTTAAAAAGGGCAGCAACACCGTGTAGGCCCCTTGCTCCAGATGTTTAGCTGTACAGCTGTTTCACGTACACATTACCTGTTACATGTTTTTAATTACTTTCGTTATTATGTAATATGTAGGCCAGTTACCTTGACCCTCTAGGTCAGCTACCTTGTCTCTCGAGGTCAGTTACCTTTTCAATGTAGGTCAAAGTGTCCATGAAGGTCAGCTTACTTGTCCATGAAGGTCAGTTAGAATGTCCGTGGACCAAACATCCACTAAAAAAGCAAAAACAAACTGATCTTCTATGATCTACTAGTCTACAAATGTTGTTTTGTTCAATTAGCTAAACAGCCTGCCTATTCTTAGAACCCCCACTTGTGTGGTAGATTATTGTCAAGCGTCTGATTGGCTGTTATATTTAGAAACAGATTGTAAATAAACAAATAAAAGAACGGAGCATGGAATGATGGGATATTGTACCATTTCCTCAGGAGTTTTGATTGTTTTTATTGGATGAAAAAAGTTCCACTATCTGTTGATAGCTGGTTCTATTTTTGGGTGGGTATTCACGCGCAGATGTATAAATAGGTCACAGTGAGTTCTTGTATGAAAACAGAAGACGGTAAAATACGATTTAGCGTTCAGGTGTTACCTCAAAGAGCGGGGTACATTTACAGTAAACTTAACATTTTGTGAACGGATGCACAATGTAAAATGACGTTTAAATGTAACTGCTATCCCGTCAGTGGTATATTTTTAAATTCCGTTTTAGTTTTCCAAATAATTCTAACCGACGGTTCGCTTGTTGTTGTTTTGTATTTTTTACTTTAGACCAATACGGGTTATGGTTATACTAGTTGATGATGTTCTTCCTCTCTAGTTGATGATGTTCCTCCGGCTCTAGTTGATGATGTTTCTCTCTAGTTGATGATGTTCCCCTCTAGTCGATGATGTTCATCCCTCTCTAGTTGATGATGTTCCTCCCTGTCTAGTTGATGATGTTCCTCCGGCTCTAGTTGATGATGTTTCTCTCTAGTTGATGATGTTCCCCTCTAGTCGATGATGTTCATCCCTCTCTAGTTGATGATGTACCTCCGGCTCTAGTTGATGATGTTCCTCCGGCTCTAGTTGATGATGTTTCTCTCTAGTTGATGATGTTCCCCTCTAGTCGATGATGTTCCTCCCTCTCTAGTCGATGATGTTCCTCCGGCTCTAGTTGATGATGTTCCTCCGGCTCTAGTTGATGATGTTCCTCCGGCTCTAGTTGATGATGTTTCTCTCTAGTTGATGATGTTCCCCTCTAGTCGATGATGTTCATCCCTCTCTAGTTGATGATGTTCCTCCCTGTCTAGTTGATGATGTTCCTCCGGCTCTAGTTGATGATGTTTCTCTCTAGTTGATGATGTTCCCCTCTAGTCTATGATGTTCATCCCTCTCTAGTTGATGATGTACCTCCGGCTCTAGTTGATGATGTTTCTCTCTAGTTGATGATGTTCCCCTCTAGTCGATGATGTTCCTCCCTCTCTAGTCGATGATGTTCCTCCGGCTCTAGTTGATGATGTTCATCCGGCTCTAGTTGATGATGTTCCTCCGGCTCTAGTTGATGATGTTTCTCTCTAGTTGATGATGTTCCTCCCTCTCTAGTCGATGATGTTGCTTTGGCTCTAGTTGATGATGTTCCTCCGGCTCTAGTTGATGATGTCCCTCCTGCTCTAGTCGAGGATGTTGCTTTGGCTCTAGTTGATGATGTTCCTCCGGCTCTAGTTGATGATGTTCCTCCCTCTCTAGTTGATGATGCTCCTCCGGCTCTAGTTGATGATGTTCCTCCGGCTCTAGTTGATGATGTTCCTCCGGCTCTAGTTGATGATGTTCCTCCGGCTCTAGTTGATGATGTTTCTCTCTAGTTGATGATGTTCCCCTCTAGTCGATGATGTTCATCCCTCTCTAGTTGATGATGTTCCTCCCTGTCTAGTTGATGATGTTCCTCCGGCTCTAGTTGATGATGTTTCTCTCTAGTTGATGATGTTCCCCTCTAGTCGATGATGTTCATCCCTCTCTAGTTGATGATGTACCTCCGGCTCTAGTTGATGATGTTCCTCCGGCTCTAGTTGATGATGTTTCTCTCTAGTTGATGATGTTCCCCTCTAGTCGATGATGTTCCTCCCTCTCTAGTCGATGATGTTCCTCCGGCTCTAGTTGATGATGTTCCTCCGGCTCTAGTTGATGATGTTCCTCCGGCTCTAGTTGATGATGTTTCTCTCTAGTTGATGATGTTCCCCTCTAGTCGATGATGTTCATCCCTCTCTAGTTGATGATGTTCCTCCCTGTCTAGTTGATGATGTTCCTCCGGCTCTAGTTGATGATGTTTCTCTCTAGTTGATGATGTTCCCCTCTAGTCTATGATGTTCATCCCTCTCTAGTTGATGATGTACCTCCGGCTCTAGTTGATGATGTTTCTCTCTAGTTGATGATGTTCCCCTCTAGTCGATGATGTTCCTCCCTCTCTAGTCGATGATGTTCCTCCGGCTCTAGTTGATGATGTTCATCCGGCTCTAGTTGATGATGTTCCTCCGGCTCTAGTTGATGATGTTTCTCTCTAGTTGATGATGTTCCTCCCTCTCTAGTCGATGATGTTGCTTTGGCTCTAGTTGATGATGTTCCTCCGGCTCTAGTTGATGATGTCCCTCCTGCTCTAGTCGAGGATGTTGCTTTGGCTCTAGTTGATGATGTTCCTCCGGCTCTAGTTGATGATGTTCCTCCCTCTCTAGTTGATGATGCTCCTCCGGCTATAGTCGATGATGTTCCTCTGACTCTAGTTAATGATGTTCCTCCGGATCAAACCGCTGTTACAAATCTTGTAGGGCTTTATGTTCTCACAATCTG